TGGCTTTGTGTGGCCTAACCTGTTGTGCCTTGCATGCTATAAGCGTTCAATTATGTCAGAAAATGGAGATTTGGTCTTATGCTGAGCATGTGCTACTGCTGGTGAATGGGATCAGGTTAAGCTTTGTGTTGCTGTTCTTTTGCATAACCTAAAGTAAATAAGGAAAACCAGCTGTTAAATAGTTTAATTCCACTATTTATCCTCCACACAACTAAAAGGGACCTCTCAATGCAGTGCCAAATCAGACAAACCATTGCTATCTTAATATAGGCTTGAGCTGTAGCTGGGCAGAGTTGCACAACAATCTCATCTGTCATTGAGACATTTCTATAAGCATGGGGAGGAGGTGGATGAAAGGAAATGCAAAATATAGGTAGAGTGGTACAGGTCTTATCACTGGCTGATAACGGTCTATATGTACTTGACTAAAATTTATGGCACACAAATTTATGGTATATAAACTACAGTACACAAACCTTTAAATCTCTCCATTTGTTAATGACAATGGTAATGGTTCTTAATGCCACTGTTGACTGCTGTTCACTTTACATGGTTCAAATGTTATTCTGTTATAGTTTATTAAATATTTTATTACATTATTTGGTTCAGAATATATTTTCCCTGTTTTCCTCCTCTAAAAATTATATGCGTCTTAAGGTCAGGTGTGTCTTATGGAGCAAAAAATAGATACTTGTTGAACAGGGAATTCAACCAGGCGCCCTCTAAGCTACCTTCCAAATGTGAAGAGAGGGGTGGATGATTTTGGCAGCTAAATGCTAGAGAAATATAAAGGAACCAAGATGAGATTGAGAATGAGAAACACAAATTTTGCTTGGTCTTTCCTCTATTGGTTCCCCAGACTTTGGGGGAATCTGTGCCTTTTGTTTTAGTCTTACAACCTTCTGCTCTCCTGTTGCTTAGCCTCTTCCTTTCCTCGAATGAAAAGCAAGTAACCCACTTCTACCTTTCCAAGAAAAACATTAAACTAGTTTGGAACCATAAGTAAAACTTTAAAATATTCTTTAATATTAATGTGTTAGCATTAAGTTAATCACTTTTGCCATCAAAAGGGGAAAGGTATAATTTGAACTGCTTTAGAAGTACTTAAACGTAACACTTTAGCGCACTTTTGCCATCAAAAGGGGAAAGGTATAACTTTAAGTGCTTTAAAAGTACTTAAAAGTAATACTTTAGCGCTTTATCTCCTGTATGGAGAGTTAGTGCAGGGAAAGCGCCCCAGAAAGAGACCACAGCTGCGATACAATGATATCTGCAAGCGGGATCTGAAGGCCTTAGGAATGGACCTCAACAGATGGGAAACCTTGACATCTGAGCGTTCAGCCTGAAGGCAGGCGTTGCATCACGGCCTCTCCCAATTTGAAGAGACCCTTGTCCAGCAGGCTGAGGCAAAGAGGCAGTTCTGAAACCAGCAAAACCAGGGATCTGGATGGGGAAAGATTGCATTTGTCTTCATTGTGGAAGGGATTGTCACTCTCAAATTGGCCTTCTCAGCCACATGATACACTGTTCCAAGTCCTCCATACAGAGCACGTTACCATAGTCTCTTGAGATTGAAAGATGCCTACAGCAGTATCATAAATACACTTTGTGTTCCAGAGTTTTAAATTTTGGTTAAATTCCCTTAGGCTGCGCAGCAGAAGTGCAGGGATTCACTGAGCGGAACAGCTGCTTCCTCAACTTAATCCACCCCCTTTTCACTCATCAACTGGTACTTACAGTGGCAATAACTTACTCTGAGACATTAACAGTAGAAGGAATAAAATGTTTCATTGCTTTAAATACACTTTGTGTTCCAGAGTTTTAAATTTTGGTTAAATTCCCTTAGGCTGCGCAGCAGAAGTGCAGGGATTCACTGAGCGGAACAGCTGCTTCCTCAACTTAATCCACCCCCTTTTCACTCATCAACTGGTACTTACAGTGGCAATAACTTACTCTGAGACATTAATAGGAGAAGGAATAAAATGTTTCATTGCTTACAGTGAACAGATAAACAGCAAACTCAGCAAACATTACTGCTTTACTGCAACAGACCTCAGCAGACTCAC